CTTGCGCAGCAGGCGGTGCACCCGGCCCACCGGGAACTGCAGCCCGGCGCGGGAGGACCGAGACTTGGCCTTAGCGCGGGCCTTGCCTCCTTGCTTTCCGCGTCCCGACATTACGGCTATAAACGCAGCTGCAGCTTCTTTTCAAGGGGAGAGATATGGAAAGAATAACCAATTTGATGTAATTTATAAGAGCTACCGGGAGGGGTAAAGGGAAGTAGTTTGATTGGCTAAAAGCGGAGCTGGTTGAAACAGCCAATAGGAAAAGAGAAAGCAGACTCCTACTTTGCGTCGAGGAAGTGACGGAGTTTGTAAGAAACTACCAATCGCTGAGAGCCACATTAAAGCCCCTTATTTGCATACTAGCGTTTTTTAAAGAGCTTTTCACACAAAACGCTGTTTGCTTTACAGAGTAGCAGTTTGTGGGGTTTTTCTTTCCAGTTGTAGCAAGGAAGACCGAAGAGCCTCTAGACCACAAGACCACAAGTAGACGGACACGTTGGAGGAATGGGACTCTGCAGTCCGTTATCCCTTTGTCACCTTCTTATCACAGCCAGACTCCGTTACAATTGACTACTAAGGCTTCCTCCTTTCTCTGTCCTCAGTATAGTCTCAGGTTTCGCCCTCCCTGCTACGACCCTAAGCCCCCGCCCCAAACCTTGCTTGGGTTGGATTCCAGTTTGGCCAAGGGTCACAATGGATTTGTCATATTCCTCTTGACCTTCAGGAGGCGTCTGTTGCCGCCTTGAAACGTTCCCGTGGCTTTCAAAATGTCGCCCTCCGTTTTTCTCACCTGACTTCTGATCCTGTTCGTATTTCTCTGCCCACCCCCAAATACGCAAGTCCACCGGGCCTCCCTCGGTATCCCCACCTCTGCACTCTTCCCATGGAGTCTCATCCACTCCCAGGCTTCCAACTAACACCCAAATTTGTTTCAAAAACTCAGACCCTTACATTTAATTGCTTACTGGATGGCTCACCCTTTTGTTCCAAAAAGCACCTTAATCATCCGACTGTGAACTCATGTAAATCCCCACACTCTTGTCTGTCCATTTTCTTTGAATTGCACCAACAAACTTCAACTACCAAAGCCTGAGTCTACTTATAACAAGGCAACAGTAGTGTGAGGGACACTCCCTGGGAGAGAGACACTCCCTGGGAGAGAGACGCTCCCAGTACAGTGACGCAATCATCACTGTACACAGATCCAATCAGAAGATGCTGTTTTCAATCCTTCATTTGCATGTGGACACAACCAATCAAAAGACACTGTTCTTGATCCTTCATTTACATACAACAGTAAACGTAGCGGGCTTTTCCCTAAAACAATTTATCCTTGGCCCCAGGCTAAAGTGAGTGACTAATAGGTTGAATGTTCTACTGCCTTTCCCACTGCCCGCTCTCCCTGTGAAGCGTATTTTTCCACGTTCAGTAAATGTACAGCTTTGCTACCTTTTCTGTGTGTCTTGTCCAGTTCTTTCTGGAAGGAAAAGAACTCCGGCGGGACTCAACCATCCGGTAAGATTCTCTTCCCGATGTCAACAGTTACTAACATCTCTTCTGCCTTTTTCTCCCTGCTGCTTTGTCTACTTCGTGTTCCTCCCTTATTTTGCTGCAAGATCCCAGATAGGCAATTTTGCTGACAGGCCCCACAGGCCTGCGTGATTTTGAGAATCCCAACCTTGGGATAGCCACGCCATTTTCGCTCTTTCCTCGGTATTCAGTAAGGAAGAAAAGTAGAATGCTATATAGAAAATAGATTTAAACTCTGTTCTTAGATCTCTTTTCAAATGTTCTCTTTTATCCTGGCTTTGGTTCAAGCAGCATTTATTGATGTGTACTGTTAGGCAATGAGTATACAGATCCTAAAACGTCCTTGAGGTTTAAGAAATCTGGTGAGCCTGAGAATTAAATGAAAAAATATCTGTTATCTGTAGCCAGTCAAGATGGCTCACACCTATAATCCCAGCGCTCACCTGTAATCCCAGAACTCTGGAGGCTGAGGCAGGAGAATCGACACAAATTCACAGCCAGCCTGAGCTACAGAGTGAGTTCAAGGACAATCTGAACTGCCTAGTGAGAAAAATCAGGTATCTGTAGAGATTCATAGTGATAAAAATGCCAGAATAGATTTGAGGAACTCCCTAGTCCATCAGAGGTGTTGTGGATGTTTCCTCAGCAGTGGAATCACTTGAGAAGGTGAACGTATACACAAAAGTATAATTCACAGGGAGTCCAGGCGGCATTAGGGCTGAGAATATTTTGTTTCTCCACTAAGATATTCATACGTTTGTAGAGCAGACACAAAAGATCTGGACTCCTAGGAAAAAGAGACCTTGGTTATGAAAGCATTGACTGTTTTCTCACTGTCTGGGAGAAATCTCACTGCAGAAATCTTTCTACAACTCTCCCTAGGTTCTGTGGTTAAGTAACAACTTTCTGGTCACTACGGAGACTGACAGCCACATGTGTACACCTGGCGTGGTGGCACACACCTGCAATCCCAGCACTCTGCGAGGAGGACACAGGAGGGCTGTAAACTGGAACCCAACCCAGGCAACATAGCAAGACCTTGATTCCAAAAGAGCCAAGCTTAGAGTGGAAATCTACCTTCCCGTAACTGACTCTCTCCCCTTTCTCCTATTTTTCTTTTTTCCTTTAAAGGTACTAGTGATTGAACACAAGGCCTTTGCTCTGAGCTACATCCCTAGCCTTTTTTGTTTTTGTTGTTAATTTTTAATATTTTTTCATTTGTTTTTGAGACAAGTTCTCGCTATGTAGTCTAGGCTGGCCTCGAACTCACTGTGTAGCCCAGGCAGGCCTGGTGGCCCTCCTGTGTCAGCTTGTGTATTTTGTTAGCACGGTCCTCTCCCCAAGGATCCATTGGCTCTGGAAATTCTGTCAACTTTTTAGACCTTCAAAGCTAAGAGCAAAACTCAGGTAACAGGAACCACATCCACACACAGCCCTGGTACCTCTGGAGGCCCTGTCTGAAGGGCCAGTTGAAAGCCCTTCCTCTTTGACCTCTAACCTTACTGCACTTCAAGAAAAGGTAAAGGGAAGAGAGATGACATTGAACCCTTTCTGTGTGATAATCCCTATGCTTGCGGCTCCCTGCGAAACAGATACAATTCTCTGTTTCACAGATCAAGAAACTGAAGCTCTGAAAGAGTAAAGTACTCGCCAGGAATCACACAGCTCCTTACTAGTCCAGATCTGCCTGGCTCACAGAATGCTCTCTTCACCCTTCATTCACACCCTTTCACTAACCAGGGTTGGGCCTAATGAAGTCACTGATTTAGCCAACCTTGCTTCTTCCGCTGGGAAAGGAATGGTTTTTAACACCTTAGATTCCGTACAAGGACTCGCTCTCGCAGTACCTAGAGTCCATACAAGACCTGAGTAGCTGAGTCGAGATGGGCCAATGTTCTGCAGATT